TAATTATTAAACAGTTATTCCCTAACAAAAATGCCCTGCACTGTAACTTTAACCAACAAAAATTCGAACAGCTTCTTAAATTGGCCCTCAAGGACAATCACTTCGTTTTTAATGGTCATCTTTATGACCAGGTAGACGGACTGGCGATGGGATCACCTCTATGTCCGACCCTTAAAAATATTTTTCTATGTTATTACGAACGTCAATGGCTGGATGATTGCCTCCATTATTAATAACCAGTGTTATATAGAAGGTACGTTGATGATACTTTTCTACTCTTTCACAACACTGATCACACCAAGAAGTTTTTACAATACCTAAATTCACAACATTCATGTATAAACTTTACATGTGAGATCCGAATAGCAATGTTATCTACAAATCGTGAGAAATATGTGTTTGTAAGATCGTGGAATGGAATGTTATTTACGAATAAGATACCTCTTTCAGTTCGGTCCCTGAGACCAACCTCGTAACCATTTTGTGCTTGTTATAGTTGTCATGCTATAACTTTTAAACTAATAAGTGTATGTTCACGAAATTTGGCAGATTATCAGTAAACATTCCAAGGCTTTCGTACACAAAATATTGTTGCGTCAGCGAGGTCACGTGACTAGTATCACGCCACGTCTTTCTAGAAATATCATGTTCCTTCATGAATGCCCTAGCATTTACCAGACATGTGTTAGTCTTGTATATATAAGACGTTCACAACGTGACGGGACAACAGTGTAATGAGTAATTGAATGTATGAGACAGAATATTGTTGGCCACGTGAGACGTGAGTTATAGCGTTGTTATAGAGCGACTGTTGAAAATAAGTGTATCGTAAAGTTGTATTCGGAAAGAATAAACCAGTTGTATTTAAGAAAGGACTTGTGTCGCTAAAGTTTAGTCGGAAAGAATTTACAGAAAATTAACTAACGACTGGAGGCGTAACAAATTGGTGTCAGAGAGTGGGACAAAAAAATGGAAACGAGAGGCGAAAAATCAAACTACAGCTTAGCAGACTTGATGGCAGCAATACAAGAGCAGCAAAAGAAACAAGAAGAACGAGATATTAAACAAGAGAGATTACAGCAGTTGTTGGAGGAAAAAGAAATGAAAAAAGAAGAGAGACTACAGCAGTGGTTGGAGGAGAAAGAAAATAAACAAGAAGAGAAATTACAGCAGTTGTTGGAGGAAAAAGAAAAGAAACAAGAAGAACGAGAAAAGAAACAAGAAGAGAGACTACAGCAGTGGCAACTGGAACAGG